CTTAAATTACTCTAGAAGTTTCTTTTCCCATAATGCTTATTATTAATTCAAGTAAAAGAAGTTGAAGGTAAAGGCTTATGGAAGGTTGATATTATGAACCATAAGAACCTGATTACCATGACCGCATCATCTGTGCACTGAACAAGAATAGATTGCCATAAGTAATAACGTTTTAATAAATGAGTCCAATACGTTTATTCGTATACATACATCTATTAATATTCATTATAACTTTAAACCTTTTAGGGCCGATTTCTTAGCTACATTTAACCATTCGTTAGTATTTTTAGTGAAAAACAATCGATAAATTATTTTATTTCGATAAAATAATGAAATACGTTTTCAAATTACGTAACTTGAATTTTACTCCCTTGAAGCCTAGGTCGATCTAAGTAATGAATCGCTAAGTAATGACAAAATAAGTAACTTTTGAAAATGGCTATATTTAACTTTACCTGTTTAGTAAAGAAAGAAATGAGAAATCTAGTAAAATGTAGTTAAAACTAGATGCATTTCTTAAATCTGAAACAACCAAAACTTCTTTTGCCATCGTAAATTTTAGAATCCGTTATAATGAATTTTACAAAATTGTTAAAGTTTTACTTTTTTTTATTTACGGTGTTATATTAAAAATAACGTAGTTCAATTTGAATAAAATTGACCTTATGTTATTCGTATATAAGACCCTATTAAATTTATAGACCAAACACATACCTAGCAACATTTCAATGTCCCGTCTAAATTCCAGCTACTATTTGGAGTTAATGCAAAATCCATTACTTAAGTCAATGTGACCGTTTGAGACAATAAATCGTTTGCGAAGTAACTCAGGTCAGTCGTTTTGCTTGTCGTTGATAGAGAGTTATATCGGTCACTACTGGATCGTGAACTTAACTACTATATTTTACGTAGACTGCTTCGATCAACATCAAAGGACTTTCTGTGAATACATTTATTACTTTAGAAGTCACGGACATAACTATTACTAAAGTGGTTACTTAACTTTAATGTTATTCATTAATAACTGTTGCTCGCGACTTCGTACGCGTTTTATTAAAAAAATATGGCCTATATCACTCACAGATAAATTACCTTCGTATCGGTGAAATAATTTTTAAAATCGGCCAGGTATTTTTTGAGTTATTTCTATACATACAAAAATACAAATCTTTCCTCTTTGTAATATTAGTATAAACGAATAAGAGATTGTCAACTGTTATACAACACATATTTTACACTAGCTTTCGCCCACAACCTCGTTCGCGTTGAAAAAAATATGAATAGCCTGTGTGTTCTTTCATACTATCCTCTACATCTATGCCAAATTTCATCGAAATCCAGTCAGCAGTTTTAAGCTACAAACTCTAACAAACATACATCTATCAATCGTTCTAAACTTTGGCAATATTATTAAGATTTAGTATTGATTTATTAATGTTATGAGAGCAAATTATTCTAATAAGAAATTTCTTTACTTGGTTTGCCAAACAATTGCTAAAAATTGCCAAAAAATTGTTTGTACTATTTTTAGAATTGTTTCTTTAAAAAAGTGGACTAAAACGGTTACTTTAGTGACTATTTAAGGACTTTGTGTTAGTTAAACTACGTTTTAATTTTGATCTTAGTTATGGTGATTGTTTAGAGCCAAACTTCTCTCATATTGGGGTCGGGTTCAATCATGCGGCATGTTAGTATAACTAGACCGAGCAGAATGCCACTTCAAACCTACACGAATGCATAAAATATGACAACCATCTTGTAACATCTCATAAACATAGTCAGAAGTTAATGATACGTGAACAATAGCCTAAGCTTAAGTTGTAACTTGAAAATGACAAAGTTGCACGTCTTTAGATACTTAGTCATATACGCTTGAAGTATCTAAATTTGACAAAGAATAACTTAACGAAGTCTGCGGTCTGATATTATATGCTTCACATATAATTCGGTAAACCACATATTAAGCAATCACAATTGATTCAATTGTGAATGCTTATTACCATATTACTTGTAACAAAGCCACAGCTAAAGTAGGACGCTTACGATAAAAGCTCTCAATCTGTCCAATCCAACAAGATAAACAAATGTTCCATTAACAATTTGTTTTTCGATCTTACTAATATTATAAACTAGCTGTCGCCCGCGACTCCGTCCGCGTGGAATTAAAAAAAACAAAAGTGAGTATCCTATGTGTTCTTCCAGACTATCTTCTACATCTATACCAAATTTCATCGAAATCTGTTCAGCCGTTTAGGCTACAAACTCTAACAAACATCCATCTATCCATCCATTCATCCATTCATCCATCCATCTACACTTTCGTATTTATAATATTAGTATGATGTGAAAATTTGGATGGAGGGATGTTTGTTAGAGTTTGTAGTCTAAACTGCTGAACAGATCTCGATGAAAGTTAGCACAGACGTAGAGGATAGTCTGGAAGAACACATAGGCTACTTTTATTTAATTCCACGCGGACGGAATAGCGGGTGAAAGCCAGTGAAATTAAATTGTTCAAATGCATGTTAGCGATACTTAAAGGCTTCTTAAGTTAACATTTACTTTAAAATAAATACACTATCGTATTTACATTGTACAATTATGTATTGATCCTATAGGTTTTGGGGTATCATTACTTACTGGTACTACTGGTTCGAATTTCTCGAACGACAGAGAGATTTCACTGTTACTTGTAAAGTGTAAGGTTTTATAACGTCTAAAATGCTCTAACCTGTCTCCCCTACACAATAAATGTGCCTCATTTACTGCGAAAAGTAGAACTCAGAACAAGTGAAGGGTGTATCAATTAAAGTTCATTTGCGTGAACAAAGTTCGCTCCCACCTAAAATGTTTGGCGAACTTTATTCCACTTGGCATTAACTGCTTGGTGACAACGACGTTGACGCCATGAAACCGTTTGATGACACGCGAAACGATCACGGAATACCAACTGTCAAACTTTCTTCATTTAGTAACCAAAAAATGAGTATAAGTTAGTGGGAAAAAGTTTGAATTATTTGATGGTCATTTTTCATATCTTACTACACTAATATTATAAATGCAAAATTTTAGATGTATGGATGTTTGAAGAGTTTACCACCTAAATAGTTTAACGGACCTTGATAAAATTCGGCATAGATATAAAACAACCAAGAAGGAAAGGCTATCGATTTTTGTTTTTTCAAATCCATGCGGACGGAGTCACGAGCGAAAGCTAGTATACTATGAAGATATAGAGGTTAGTACCTAGTACCTTTTTACTTCATATATTTTATTAGAGTAAAACGTAAAGTAAAGTAAAACTTTATCTGATATAATAATAATTCGTCCATTTATTTCTATAGTATATAAAAAGAAAATTATCGATAAATTATATGCAGCAATAGTTACGAATGTAGGTAAACACAATAAACCAATAAAAGTTTACAGTACGCAGTGATATGTTAACATTACTACTGTGGCACTTTTTAATTTAATTAACTTCCAAACAATTTTTAAGTTAGAGATGACTGTTCATCTTCAATCTTGGCAATAGAACCTGGAGCCAACGATCCATTGACATCTCGCTCAGTGCCAAAACCTAGTCGAATAAAATATTCCAAATTCTTCATGCATTTTCATTTTGCGTCCAAATATTTTTGCACTGCACCGCAATATTTTAAGGAACACGGCGTTCGGTGTATTTTGTTTTAAAAGTTTTGTGAAGCTTAAACTTTAGCATTTATTTTGTGTATTTAGTTCTCAGCTGCATGTTTAAGAAAATAAGACAAAATAGGGTTAAAATAAAAATAAAACAAAACGAATGAAAAATCATTTTTTATCATAAAACTATTCGCTCAACATTTTATTGACATGCTAATCCTAAGTATTGTTGATAAGAAATTGATTTTTATTTGGGATTTTAAAAGTTGGAAAAATAAACTCTATTATTAATGCACATTTGATACGTTGTAATTTTTAAAAGTAAAAAAAAAAAATAAAAACAATGTACCTACTTGTAAGTAAAATAAAATAACAGGGCTAAAAGATCTGTCTAAAACCACTTTTATCAGAGATTATTTTGACACTTAAGTGGTAACCCTCATCGAAGCAAATAATATCATAAGATAATAGAAATATTAATCAAAGTTCATTTATTACCGCTTTATAAAAATAAACTTTTCTTAGTGTATAAAAATAAAATCACGATCGACAAGTAAATACATAATTTATACGATCACAAAACTTCCTCCTTATAGATAATAGCATTTACCGTGACACTCGCTAGACCTTACAAAGGCCCCGTATTCCTTGAAGTTAGTATTTAATAAGGCTGTATTCACTGAACATTCCACAATAACCTTTGTTGTCGCTACAAACACATCTCAGAACATCTGCAAACTACGAACAAGTTGTTACGAAAACTAACTACATTGTACTTAGTTCTTATTTTCCACTGCACAGTTAAGACGTATCTTAGGAAAAAAAATGTTCATATTCACCTAAAGTACACTAATGGTTCACAATTTACGCAAATCGTAATACGAATGTAGTAAGTTTTTACTGCCATAGAGTATTACTGCAAAGCACTTAATAATAATAAACTCGGTGATATATTATAATGTGTCGTTTCCCAAGACAGTGTGTAATGCTTATTTCTTGTGTTACTCAACTTAAAGTAAGAAACACGTAGCGGCAATAACAATTCTAGGATAGCATTGTTTAATTTTCCATCGAATTATGTGCAAAGAGTTAAAAAAGCTTAGGTCTATTTCAAAACACATTGCATAGAATCTACAAATATTGTTGTATTTCTGTTTTATTTTTTTATTTCAGATGGAGATTACAAATTACTTGTTATAATTTTTTAATAAATATTTCAACTTACCAATAAATGTATTTTTATTTACTATCTAAAATATAATTAAAATCTGTTACATTTATTCTATCTCACATAACTAAAGGCGTGACTTCGTTAGCACTAAACATGTTAATTATTTTACCATCTACAGGATACTCACACGCTCCAATTGTTGCTTACCAAAGACTTAATTAACATTTCCATACGCAATATACGCACGCTATGTCTAATCGATTAAAAAAAACTATCTCTAATATTACCGCACTATCCTTAACCTTAATATAGTGAGGTATTGTGTAGGGTTGTAATATCTGTACGATTTACGCGGCAAACGGTTTCGATTTTACTTTTAGGTGAGCGTGCGCGAGCGCAAGCACGCACAAGACACAAGTCTTCCGTCGATTCGCTCAGTGTAAGAACGACACTGGCCGACAACGAACTTAGAACCTCCGTCAAACGATACGCGGCGACGAACAATGCTCCATTTGTGAACTGTGAACGAAACATTGACTAATTGTGTTTGTGTTGTTATCTTAGAGTAACAGGTGAGTAATTTAATACATAGTTAATTCATAATTTCATATACATCTAATGATTGATATGTATAATGTACAGGGATGGTACTTATGTGCGTATTTTGATTAAATGTGCAGTTAAGGAAAAAAAACGAAAAACAAAATTAAGAAGCTTAACAGAATTTAATTCAAAGATATAAAGATTTTTTGAACGTTACCAAAAAAATGTTACGTATATTTTTTATTTAAAAAACAAGGTATACAAATTGACCTTATTTTTTATTAGAAATTAGTGAGATTTATATAAAAATTGCATTAATTATTTTTTGGTTTTTTAATAGTAAAAATTATTAAAAAAAATTGAATAATTAATAAGTAATCAGTTCATTAATTTTTTAATGATTTAAAAAATATTCCTAATACTTTAATTACAATATTTCATTTTTTACAATTTAATTTTTTTGTTTAAAAATAATACATTTGTTAAAAATATTTTAAACACTTTGTATGGTTTTTAACACAGTAAATTAGAGGTTATGGTCTGTGTAATGACGAATTCGTTTTTATTAGAATTACACACAGCCTCCGTTTGTAGTAACCATTGCAGATATTTCGAGAAATTGATACAAAAACACCAAAAGTCAATCAAGACGATGTTTCGAAACAGTTCAGGTAAACCGAACCGTTTCACAAGTATGGAGTTGAATTCAAATTAGCATGAGCTTGTAACAATTGGTGGTCGATGAATTTTTTTGCCTTCGATTTCGAAACACCGCCACGGACCGCGAAAAATATGTAACATCGTTAGGCCATACCGGTCGGAAAACTATTATCGCTTCGTAACTTCGTGAATTATTTAGTAACTAATGCTGCAGAATTCCCTTAAAATATCGATATTTTTTAGACTGAGTAAAAATATACTCTGTCTTCCTAGTGGGATAAATATTTTTTCTATTAATGGTCATTATTTCGAGCTGGAATTTGTTATGATCATACGTTCTGATAGGATCGAAATGTATTGGTTATTATTTATTTTAAACATATGACAAAAAATGCCAACAACATTAATAAAATATTCTCTTATCTTTTGACAGTTTTTCTCAATTTAAAAATAAAATAAAAACGTCTATTGCATTAATAGTTAAATTAATCCTATAATAATCACCGCACGTGACCGTTGCGAATTTCAAACGAAACATAATGGGATGTCGGTCGCAGTTTTCTCTCGTACAACAAAAATATCCCACGCCGATTGAACTCGGAGGTGCGTTCAACGTGACCTAGAAAATTGAGAATTACTCTCACTGAATGGTACAGTCGGAAGCAAAAATTTTAAACATATTGCGCAAGCAAACACTAGGAAACTAGTCATTTAATTTGAAAAAATAATTATCATCGAACCGTGAACAAAAAACATCGTTTTGGTATCTTTTATTTGTTTTTACAATGTTATCATTTTTATAAATACGCTCTGATCTAATAGACGCAGTGGATAAGCGGGTTTTTAATTGGATTTAACGGATGGTATAGATTATGTAACGCCCTTTAGATCTTCTTTTGGTTAGCAAAAACTTTAACAAAAACAGCTCATGATGTCAGTGATAAGTTTTTGAACGGACTCGTGAATAAACTTTTTTTTATAACATTTTGCTATTTTTTAATGGATACAGATTTCATTTTGTTAGTTTGTAACTAATATTTCGAATGATATAATCATGTTAATGTTATAAATAGGATGAATGAATAATTGTTAGAAGGTATCTCCAGAATGATTAAACGGATTTAGACGAAATTGGTCACAGATGTAGGACAAAGTCTAGAAGGATAGATAGGCTTGTTATATCTTTTTTCATTCCGTCACACGAGGTCGTAGACAAAAGCAAGTTGTCAGTATAAATGCGTTAGTACCGGATATTGGTACTTGAGAAATAATTGATAAAAAACACAGGACAATAAACATTTATCGATGTAATGCATATGTTTCTCGCAAAAAATATAGATAGTAATTAAAATTCAATTACATGTATTCGGTTACTCTATCAAATTTAACAATGTGCAATAAAAGTTAACTACTATTATAAATGCATTGGAAATTATCCAATTGTTTTAAAAATTGCTTTTTGACCGGATTTATAAGCCGTTTATATACGTGTGCAAATTTTATCGTCCTCCTTCGTTAAAAGTTAATTTTGCAAACTATTACACTTCATGGTTATATCGAGAAATATACTTTAAACTGCACTTGGATTTATAGTTATGCATTTTTCTCACACGGAATATTTTGGTTCTATCAAGGTTTTTTTAAAGTTTTTTTACACTCAAAGAAGTAATGAGTTATTTGTTATATCATTTTTTTTAAATTTCAAGCTTGAATTTGCGATTTTATTGATCACATATACAATATCAAACATAATATAACATGCTTTAACAAAATAAAAAAAAATATTTCCTAAACTTTCAGTACACATCCTTAACTATCGTAACGGACTTCTTGTTATAAATAACATAAAATATATAACCAGCGCGAATAGATGCATTCTTCGACATTAGATACAGCTACAAAAAAGCCTGACGCTCCAAGGTATAATAAGATTCAAAATTTACAACTGCTCGATATTAGCTACGAACGAAGGACTGCGCCGATTGCTGTCATATGCGGCCACACCTAGAAAGCTCAAGGATATTCCCAGCCCTTTGCCTTTACGTCTATCCGATACCTCTCTCATATTTAACCCAATCATTTAAGTTATTTTAATTTTATAGTACATTTACTCTCGTTTTACATCACGAACGAATGTAAACTTTGAATAGTACTGTAAGAGTCGTGAAAGCGATACGCTATAAGATATTCAGCGCACGCGACGCGACGCCGCAGTCCCGGTAAGGCACAAGCACGTAGCGGTACTCTGACGCAACTAATTATACACAACACCACGACTCAATAGATCAGAAACGACCCAATGAATCTGCGTTGATCGTTCTGCGAAGCGAAAGTCACACGTAATAGTAACTCGTTTCGTCGTTATGCCCGACAAAAGAGATTAACTACGGATGGCTCCGTGGAATATCTGATAACCGCACTGTCGTAACTGATCATTAACTTGCTAAAATGCGTAATAAGTCGGTCAACGTACTCATTGTTATTTTCAATCTTAACTACTGCAGTTTAAATTAACTATTTAGGTTGCATGTATTAAAAAATGAGATAAAGTAATTTTATTCAACAGGAAAACAAGACGTATTACTTTTCGTTAATTATTTTATAAAAACGTTGATTTTAAAATATCTAATTAATTACATGACATCGATCTAATATGTGTAATTTTTGATTATTTCCCTTGCTTTATTACAGCATAATTTTTCCTGCCCTAAAATGTCAATAAACAAATCAAATAAATGTATTAATATTAGATATCAATAAATCCTTTACAATTAACATTCTCGTTAACAAGAAAATATTGAAATGTCAAACAAAACAACTTTTCGCTTCGATAGGCAAGTGTCTCCACTGTTTATTCAATAATTATTATCGCAAACGCTTATTCAACTGAGAAATTAACAAATCTGGTATTATCTTACAAGCTTGAACAATATCGGTTGGTCAGTCTATATTGTCTATTTGGAGTCCGACAAGTCACCGACAAAGAAGAATTAAGAATGTAATAAAAAGTAAAGTACGATTTGAGGTGTAAAACAATTGCAAGATGTGACAAGAAAATAAGAACGTGAAATGTGAGCACTGTAATTAAATAAAAAAGTCATAAAAATCACAATAGTACTAGTTTACATTTATTCATTGGTCCTTCGAGCGGGATAGGTTATAGTTAGGTTTATTTACAACAATTTACCATAAAATAAATTAAACCTATTAAGCATAGCTGGAAATTATGCACAATTCCTAATTTAATTAGTTCCTTTAGTTAAAAAATAATATAAAGCTCGTTAACTGTCTTATTTTTTTGTCACAGTCTATTATTTATTCTCATAAATTACTGCAGACATTAAAGTGTGCACTATAATTAAATAAATAAAACACATACTTTGTTTACAAAACCTCTGTGCAGTATTACATATAAATGTGTTATGTGCACGCGTCCGGTTTATTACTATTCATACGAATTGTTTTATTCTCATTTCTGTCGGTTCTTGTGCATCGAATGACTAATGTACAATTCTAGTTATGTAAAGGAGATCACAACCTCGAGGTTACATACAAAAACTGCCTCATTCGTTCTGCATTCCAACATTTCTTTTGGACTTTTTTTGCCCTGACAGTAAACATAACTCCGTTCGTGCTACATTTATGGACAAATGATAAGAATATAGCCTAGTTATTTAATATTTAATTTAAATACAAAATCCGTGTAATTTCATTCTTTTGCTAAGTTAAAACATATATTCCGTATTGTTTCCTAGACTTTAGTATTAAAAGTAAAGTAAAACAAAGTATAAGTCTGTTATTATTAAGTCCTGTCTCCTGAAACACGGTTGTTATAATTAGTTTAGGAAACAGTGCCCCAATGAATTTTGTAAATTTTTTTTTTGTCCGATAAAGAGTTTTTTTTTATTTATTTTTATTTAATATCACGCCATAACCAATACCCAATATTCGAAGATCAAGTTGGATTGCAATTGCGTCTAAAAGAAAAAATTGTGCAATAAAAAATTCATTTACATTGTTGTTTGTTCTAAACCAGAATCTTATTAAAATAATAAACTTTAATGCGGATTTTTTGTACCCTTTTACACAAACGACTGCGACATGTAAATGACTAATGATCGGTTTCCTAGCTACGTTTAACCATTCGTTAGATTTTTGGTTCG